AAAAAAAAAAAAAAAAAAAAAAAAAAGACAACAGAAATGAGTAATTTCAAGTACATTGAGGAGGAACAGGAGGTCATTGCCTCAGAGTGGGCAAAGACAAAGACACTCTGAGCTTGCCACTATTTCTTGAGTCCATAGGGAGTATCAGTTGACTAGAGGGTGGCAGTAATCCCATGCTGATGAGTATCTTATGCTGATGAGGTGGTTATGTTGATTAGGACAAGCAAAATGCTCTTACAACAGTAGGTGGGACCAGGCAGGCTGATGAAGAGTTTGCCCCCAATGATGAATGTAACAGTACTGTATATTTAAAAAGTACCAATAAACTCAAATAAAAAAATGATGAGCAAGCAACTGGCTTGCCCTCAGCAGGGAGGCCATTCTCTGTGAATGCAGACTACTAGAATCTATTAAGTCTTAATCAAGGGGATGCACAGCTGTGAGTTCCATCCTGGCTAGGGCTGAAGGCTCTGGCTTTGGGAAGTCCCATGGGCCTTACACAAGGCCGTGCTGCACGTGGGTGTGGGAGGGCTGGCGAAGGTGGGGTAGACTCCTGTTAGGCTTCCGGGACCCCTAGACCCTTGCTCCAGTGCTCTTCTCACCCTGCTCCACTCCCTTCATCCACCCTCCACCCTGCCATAACCTCCACTTGCTCCTTTTCCCACAGGTACTGACAGATGTGCTGCTGGAGCCACCAACATCTGTGGCCCAGGAACCTGTGTGAACCTCCCAGACCAATACAGATGTGACTGCAACCCTGGCTACCAGCTGCACCCCAGCCAGGCTTATTGCATGGGTATTCACTTGGGTGTCAAATGCCTACTTTGAGGCTGGGGTAGTTGGGAGCAGGAGCAGAGAACTGAGTCAAAAGTCCAGGCAGCAGAAGGGCCAGGCCATGCTATGTGGTTGATGAGTGCAGCGATGCAGTCCCTATGGACAAAGCCAATTTTAACTTCGCTGAGCCTCTAGACTCCAGGAGAGTGGGAAGCCACCCAGTTCACCTGGGTCTGCACCTGCCCTGAGGTTAGCCCACTCCTCAAACTGGCTGTGCTGCTGCCTGCTGAGCAGACCAGGGTCTCCACCAAGGCCAGACCTGGAGGAGAGGACTGGGGCCAAGATAATCAACTGTGGACCTCATTGATCCCCTTGGAATATTTTTGTGCAAAGGCCAATGGCCAGGGATTTAGCTCAGTGGCGTTGCATCTTCCGTGCAAGCACAAGGTCCCGAGTTCCATTCCCAGTACCAGAAAAGAAGAGACACTGGATCACAAGCCATATCAACTGTGGTTTTGAAGGAGAAAGGAAGCAATTTCAAAGCCACAGGAGGAAGGGGACAAGGGGCAGGGAGTGGGGGCTAGCAGTCACCCCAGGACCCTAGTGCCGAAGTGGGCCTGATGGACTAACCCTGTGGCTTTTAACCTAGAGGTTTTTTTGTTTTTGTTTTTGTTTTTGAGACAGGGTCTCACTATGAAGTTCATTCTGGCCTTGAACTCACTATGTAGCCCAGGCTGGCCTTGAACTCACTGCAGTCACTCTGCCTCGGCCTCAGGATTATAGGCATGCACCACCATGCCTGGCTTAGCCTAGAGACTTTCATCTCCCTAGTCCCCTCTGTCCCCCTCAATGTCCCCCTTCCATGTCACATGGCACCATCCCCTTCCTGGGCAGGTTGCTGGCAGGTGCCCAGAGAAAGACACAGTGGCCTCCCTAACCTCCCTCCTTGCTCCCTCTGCTCAGATGACAATGAGTGTCTGAGGGACCCCTGTTCAGGAAGAGGGCATTGTGTCAACAGCGTGGGCTCCTACTCCTGCCTCTGCTACTCTGGGTACACACTGGCCACCTCGGGCACCACACAGGAGTGCCAAGGTAAGCCAAGCCTGCCCTGGCCCTGGGATGGGCTAGATTGGTCACAGAAGAATATACTTGGTCTGGGAAGCACACAGTCGGGATGGAAAAGGAACTGGGGAGGAAGCAGGTGCTGTGCTGGGACCTCAAGGAGGGAAAAGAATCCAAAAGACAGCAATGCTTGCAAAGGTCTCAAGGAATTGTGGCTGGAGCCAAGAAGGTATCAAGGGACTTGGCTAGACATGGGGACCAAAAGCCAGGTCTCAAATTCTGAGTGACAGGAAGCTACTTTCCTTTTGGGGAAGGAGGAAGCAGAATTAGGTCTTCTGGCAGACTGGAAAGCAGGCTTTTAAGAGAGGAACTCAGGGCCAGGGGTGGTGGCGCACCCCTTTAATCCCAGCACTTGGGAGGTTGAGGCAGGAGGATCGCTGTGAGTTTGAGACCAGCCTGGGCTACATAGTGAATTACAGGTCAACTACATAGTGAGACCCTGTCTCAAAAAACCAAAACCAAACAAACAAACAAGAGAGGAACTCAGTCCCTAGCAATTTGAGATACCTGCAGGCTATCAATTTTCCCTGGGAAGTCCTGGCTCACTGCTAGGGGGACCCTTGGTAGGCACACTTCCAATTCAAACCCTTTAACAAAGAACGATTCCCATACATTTTTATAAATGTGTTCACAAAAAATGTAAGGGAGTGCTTTCCAAGCAGTGCCTTAAGATTTCTAACCAAGAGCTAGGTAAGGTGGGACCTGCCTGGAGTCTCGGCATTCAGGAGGCTGAGGCAGGAGGATTTTAGTGAGTTCCAGGCCACCCTCTACTACATAGTGAGACCCTGTCTCAAAAAAAAAAAAAAAAAAAAGTCAGAAATAGAAAAAGATTTCTAACCAGTTTGGAAGTGTTCACCTCAAGAATGGCACTGTCTCTTCTTGGAGTTCACAGTGCTGGTTCTGGCCAGGGCAGCCAAGTAGTTATCGCAGCTCCCCAGGGCATCCAGGGGAGCTATATATCCTTTCATGCCAGTGTACCCTCAACTTGTGATCCCCTGAAGGATCTGGCCCACAGGGACCAAAGCCATCCACATCTTCTCACTTGATTATGGGGCCAAGGGAGGTCTAGGAGATAATCCCGAAGTCCATGGAAGAGGGAGCTACTGTGTGCATCATCCATGAGCACTAAGGCATCAAGCACTCTGTGCCAGACACTGCGCAAAGCTCTGGGAAAGCTGAGATGAGTGAGTGCGAATTGTGACACTGCGGGATCCAGGTGAGCAGGCAACTGGCTCCGCAGGAGAGAATTGCCAAAGGTTTCTTAAGAGGGCGCTTGAGCTGGGGCAGAATAATGATAGCTGCTATTTAATGAGCACTTCTCTGCCAGTGCTTTATGACACAAAGCTCATCATTCAAGCCTGTGTTATAGTTTAGCAAACTGAGGCTCGGGGAGGTGAACTGAAACACTCAGGGGCCTCACACTTGGTTACGGCAAAACTGGAAATAGAGTCAAAGTCACTCCAGCTCCAAAGCACGGCTTGCTTCCTTCCAGAGACACATCTTTGTGTGCAGGAAGTCAGACGCCGATGCAAAGCATGAACAGGAACGGAGGTTGCTCTGGGCAAAGGGAACCGTCTCCACGGAGAACAGAGTAGTGAACAGGCCTGGCGCCCGGCCCTGGTGAGGAAGTCAGTGTGCCTGGAGCGTGGGGTCCAGGCAGGAAGTGGCAGGGGTTGAGGCCAGTTTGGGAAGTGGCTTGGGTACCAGGCTGAAGAGCTTGGATGCTGTCCCAAGGGCAGTGGCAGCCAGGAGTCCCCAAGCAGAGGAGCGGTGAATGGGTCAGCTGGCCACCAGCAGGGTGACTCAGGCGGCTGTGCTCCAAGTAGTCTGGTGGATCCAGGGAGCGGTGGGCCTGGCCCCGCTGCCTGCGGACAAAGCCCGAGCAGCTAGCCCAGGGCGAGCCGTGGCTGCTTCAGGGAACAGTGTCGCCGGGACTGGCCCAGACCAGGGATTTTGCTCTGTGCCAGCCTGGGTGTCTGACTATCTCTGCCAGCCCCGACAGCTGAGGAAGAGAGAGGCAGAGGCCAGCTAAAGTGCTTTTCCCAGTGGGGCTTGGCTGCCATTTGAAAAGCCCTTGACCGGCATAAGATCCACTTTCTAAATTTTGCCAGTCTCGTAAAGTGATATGTCATTATTTCAGTGACTTCATTTAATACTGAATTAGTTATGAATTAGTTTTCATTTATGAATTAATAATCCACAGCTAATTATGAATTAATGGATAATAATTAATAGAAAGCATTATTGTTTATAAGTTAATATACATAGAAATAATCATTAGAAATGATTTAAATATTTACATTACTAATAAGTTTAAGCACTTCTTGGCATATCGGCCTTTGAGTGTCCTCGTCTATAAATTGCTTGTTTCTGTCTTTGGCTCACTTTTCCGTGAGCAGCTGGAAAACCCATTGCTTTTTGTCTCTTGTGGTCTTTACGAGCCCCATCCATGTTCCAGGTGCTTAGCTGGGTTTAGATATTATGATTCTCTCATTGTCCTCTTCCCTTCACCGTTACCCCCATGTCCTGCTTTGAACAGAAATCCTTACTTTCGATGTATTGAAATTCACCTTTTTGCCTTATTTTTGATGTTGTTGGAAATTTATTTAAGAAGTCTTTCCTTTCCTGCCAGGCACATGCCTGTAACCCCAGCACTCGGGAGGCTGAGGAAGGAGGATTGCTGTGAGTTCAAGGACAGCCTGGGCTCCACAGTGAGTTCAAGGCCAGCCTGAACTGCCTAGTTGGACCCTGTCCCAAAACAAAACAAAACAAAAAACCCCAAAAGTCTTGTCCTTTCTGTCAGTCACAAGGAAAATCTACATTTTTTTTAATGCCAAAAATTTTGATTGCTTTGTTTTGTTTTGTTTTTGTTCTTTATACCAGGGATCTAACTCGGGACCTTGCACTTGCGAGGCAGACATTGAAACCACTGAGCTAAATCCCCAGCGATCTACATGGTTTTTTTTTTCTGTACTGAGAATTGAATTTGGGATTGCTCTACCACTGAGTTATATCCCCAAACCTTAAAAAAATGTTGAGACAAGGTTTTGCTAAGTTGCCAAAGCAGGACTTAAATTTGTAATTCCCGTTCCTTAGCCTCTCTACACTTTCTTTCATTAAAGTTATTGCTTTCACTTGTGTGGGATACTTTAGCCCATCTCAGGTCCCTTTCCTCCATTTCTATTTTCTCACCCCATAAGTTGGTTTTCCCACGATCACCTCAGGCGGTGGTCCTGCCCCCACCCTATTTAGGGGTTCTTTGTCAAGTCGCTACATCCGGCTCTGCTATGAGTTCCCTTGTCTCTCTGTTGGGATTAGAGGTCTCAAAGTGAAGAGTAATTATTCCTGAGTTGCTGCAGGTTCCCCGCCAACACACTGCAAGGACAGGATCTGCACATGGTGGCCTGGACTGGGCATGGGACACCTCTGCCAGCACCTCAGCTGTGCTGAGTTTTTCTTTTCTTTATTTATTTTTGGTACCAGGGATCAAACTCAGGTCCTTGCGCTTGTGAGGCAGGTGGCAGAACCACTGAGCTAAATCCCTGGCCCTCCTTTTCTTTGGCAAAATGTTTATTGGTACAATTTAGATATACATAACGGTAACATTCGTCATGGGGAATTTGTATCTGTACGTGATGTCTCAATTCTTCCTTCCTCCCTTAACCCCTCCTCCCCTCATTTACAAAAGCTTTGTTCTCATTTTTTCCTTCTATTTCCTTTTTTTTCCTTATCCCTTCCTTCCTTTTCCCTTACCCCCTCCCTTGTTCCCCTTCTCATTTAAACATTTTCTCCCCATTTCTCAATATTTACTACACATTTTGGTCCTTATTTCCCTTTTCAGTTTCTCACACACAGAGAAACAAAGTGGTATTTAAACATGTGTGTTGCACTGGGGTTTTCAAAGAATTGCTCAGATGGAAACATCATCTATAAAGCAATAACTGTCACCTTATCCCTTTAGTAAGTACTTATTGGGGTTCTATGCTGGGCACAGGAGACGCTGAGATAATAAAGCACATTCCCAGAGGTCAGGAAATCTAAGGGCTGGGGCAGAAAGGAACCCCAGAAAGGAGCGTGCAGGCAGGAGGGAAGAAGCCAGCTTTGCCAGAAGATAAGTAAAGTGCAATGAACCTCCCAGGGGTGGGGGGTACGAGCCACTCCAGCATATGTGAGGGCTCAATGGCAGGTCCTGCGCAGCCAAGTATTGCATAGGAGGCAGGAAACAAGTTGAGGGGAGTTGGCAGGGGCAGGTCATAAAAGACTTTACATGCCAGGCTGAGGAGCCTAGATTCTGTGGGGCAGGTTTAGCACTAGGATAATAATAGCCCACAGTTCTTCAGTGCCTCCTCCTGCTGGGTTGGTACTATGCTAAGCTTCCCACCTGAGTTATCTCATTTAATCTGCATTAGGGCTCTGTGAAGTCTCTAAAACCAGTGCTGGGGAGGGGCAAAAATGAGGCCTTGATGACTGTGACAGTGGGGGCACAGAACGGGGAGTGGTCGCAGGAGCCACAGTTGATCTCTTCAGCTTCTGCTCAACATGGTAGTGGGAATCCATTGGCTAGTAAGGTGAGGAAAGATCTTCCCAGCAGTGGCGCGGGTATGAACAAAGACTTGGCGGCTGGACCAGTGGAAATCTGCTACAGCTAAGGCACCAAGGGGTGTGTGCGAACCAGCAAGGATAGCAAGGCTGGGGCCAGGCCGTGAGCCAGGTTGCAAGTAGAACTTCAGGTGGCAGAGACGCCCTCCAAGGGATCAGGAGGGCACTGACTTGACCATTATGGGACCAGTAAGTTTTGGACAATGAGTGACACAAACCACACCCAGCAGATCCTTGGCTGCCTAAAATACCCTCTCCCTCTCCCTCTCCCTCTCCTCAACTAACCTTTAACAAAGCCGTTGAGAAGAACTGTAGAAGTAGACCCAATGTCCACTGTGCTAGGTCAAGTCGGGGCGGGGACTTCATTGACCTCCTCAGATCATGCCATGTGGACTGCCATGGTCACCAGGTGAGCCCTCCCATAAGGTGAGAGCTACAGTAGCCTCCCTGGGAGAAGAAACTTGGGTCAGGTAGAGTCTGGTCAGTCTCAGTCCTCATCCCTCCAGCCAACCATGGCTGCAGCAAGCATGCCTTCCTCACCCAGGCCTCAGCATGGTGTGCTTGTGCTGCAAAAGGTACCTCAGGACCTGCTCCAGGGCTGCCTTTGACTCGGGACTGTCTTGTGTGTTCACAGATGTAGATGAGTGTGAGCAGCCAGGGCTGTGCAGCAGGGGGCGATGCAGCAACACCGAGGGTTCATACCACTGCGAGTGTGATTCTGGCTACATCCTGGTCGGGAAGGGACAGTGCCAAGGTAAGGAATGAGGGTAGGGGGTCAGGCTGCTACCCACACACTGCCCACCACCACTGCCCTTTCTGCTTGTCCCCCACTGGGTCCATCGGTGCTGAGCCCACTCCTACGGACAAAAAGATGTCTGTGAATTCCTGAGTTCTTCCATCGCCTTGATGATATTTTGGCATCCTGTCTCCCCACCGTAGCAGAGAAATGCAAATTTACATGACATCCCGGGCACATCTCTGCTTCCTTACTTTGAAAAATGGGCTTTCTTTATGTGGTAGAGGAAGAGTCCATCTATCTGGAAGCCTTGGCCTTCTTTTGTTTTTGTTTTTTTTGAGACAGGGTCTCACTGTGTGGTTGAGGCTGATCTGGAACTCACTATGGAGCCCAGGCTGGTCTCGAACTCACAGCAATCCTCCTGCCTCAGCCTCCCAAGTGCTGGGGTTACAGGCATGCGCCACCACACCCAGCAAGCCTTGGCCTTCTTGCTAAAGCTTGTTAAGACCGTGAGCTCCTGAGGGTTCAACCATATCCTTAGATGACCCATACAAGGACACTTGATAGGCACCCAACAAATCATAATTGACGGACTGCATGAAGAATGAATGAACAGGTCCCAAACCTTTCTCCCCTTTCCCAGCGGCAGCAAAACAGTGGTGGTGGTGGGAGCAGTAACAACTAGTCTTTACATAATAGCCTAACCTGCCACTATCACAGCAGCTCTGAAAACCTTCTGGCACCTGTGTCACTACCACCTTCTGGCTAGGCTGGGGTATTAAATGCTTGCAGAAGGAGTAGGTCCTATGTCCCCAGACTGGTTAAGACAGGAATAAAAGCCGGGCAAGGTGGCACACACCTGTAATCCCAGCACTCAGGAGGCTGAGGCAGGAGGATCGCTGTGAGTTTGAGACTAGCCTGGGCTACACAATGAGTCCCATGTCAGTCTCAACTACATAGTGAGACCCTGTCTCAAAAAACCAAAAAAAAAAAAAAAAAAAAGAATAAAAGAAGGTAAATCAAGGCTCTCTCTGGGAAATAAAAAAACCAAAACCTGCTGTGGGTCCCAATTTAGGATCCTGGCCAGGACTTGCCAGGTCCTGGAGGTAAGGGATGAGTTTGTGTAGCTGTGAAGGGACAAAGCCTGTTTCCCAATCCATTACCATGGAAGCAAAGTCCAGAGTCCTAGGAAGTCTTGGCAAAAGGGAGAGGCGGCTGCAGGTAGAGGACAAATGACCGTCTCTTCCCCCAGTGTGTCACCTTCTCCAAATGCCTCCCGTTAGGTGTTCCCTGTGTATATCTCAGGCCTCTGCATGATCGAGGGCAGAACCCACTCCCTCTGACCTCGTGAGAGAGCAGAAGAGACATGTCATTTTCCAAGACAATGGACAGTGACGGTCCCACCACTTGAGGGCACCTACTATGTGCCAATGGCTGTGCTATAACCTCTTTTAAGTATCACAACAACCTTATGAACTTGACAGTAGGGTCTATTGAAAAGAAAAACTAAAGGAAATGAACTAAGAAAATACCAGAACATTAAAATATCAGATTTATGTGAACCAGTCTGTGTTAAGGGCACAGGCTATGGCGCGGTCGGGCCGCAGTCTGGCTCTTGTCTCATGTCTGGAAATGGAAACTATCATGCCCATCTCAGAAGCTCTAGTGAGGACAGGATAAGCTAGTACACATAGGGCGCTCAGCCGCATTTCTGGCACATACAGACCCCAAGTAAATAGGGACAAACATGACTGTCAGAGCCCTGTCCCTTCCCTTTCCATGTCCAGATTCCTCCACCTCCATCGCCCTCTTCTGGACTGTCTCCTGCCCATCTAGAGGAAAGATTCTAGACATGAGCCTCGTCTGGGAGGTCAGGCAGAGTTCCTGGCCCTGGGCGGACTCTTGGAGACTGTTGAAAGAAAGAATGATGTCTGCACACTTCTCCAGGTTTCCCTCAGTAACCACAGGCCCAGCCCATCACCGGGAGCTCAGTCAATTTCTTCTCCCTCTTTCTTCTTTCTCCAGTGAAGAAACCGCTTTCTCTACTGAAACCCAAAGCCTCTGGTGAAAGGCTACGGGGTCTGGATAGCAGCCCATGCAACAGTCTCAAGGGCATTTCTGTCCTACCAGGACTCTGGGTTCCCATGGACAAGGACGGATTCTCCTGAAGGCGGCCAGGGCTTTTGATGTCCCCCACCCACATCTGAGGTCCCCTGAGCAGCTGGTCCCTGCCTGAGCGGCCTCCTCGCCCCCACCCTGTACTCCCACCAGGGACAGATGTGAGCAACCTTATATGTCCTCATGCAAAAGCTGATCCCTGGGCAGAGAAGCTCCGGGATCCTCCCAGGCTACCTCAGACAGCAGACTGGCAAGTTGGCCTCCGCAAGAGCCGTCCAAAGACTTCATTTTTATCTCATTATGGATTTAGGAGGATCTCTGCCGCAATATATTTTCATCGCCAAAGTCCCCCATCCTTGAAGTCATCAATGGCTTTGTGGTCCTCCTTCAGGTACCTCAGCCAGGGCCAAAAGAGCATGGTGCTAGATGCTCCCTCTGGAGTGGCCCACGTTGGTGGTCCTGAATTCTTCAATTCCTCCATCTCTGTCCCATCTTCTCCATCTTGTCTTTACATCTTAGAATAATTTAACTTGGTGTCACCTTAACCCAACAGGGGCTCATGGTTTCTACCTTTCCAGAGATAAGCCTTATCTCAGTCTCCCCAACTTTCCCTAGGAACTGTGGGCCCCTCTTTGCAGATACTCACCTGAATGGCCACTTTCCCTGTACATCCCTTTTCTGCATCCTTGGGGTCCAGTTTTGGGCTCAAGAGAGTCCCCGTTCCCTGGGACAGAGAACTTTGATGTGTCTAACTTCTGCAGAACAAGCAACCTCAGGGGCACTTATTGTCACCCTCTATCTTGGGGTCTACATCCTGTTTGCAATGGCATTGTTGGCTTCAGTCCCTGTACAGAAGGCCTGTGCTCTGCCCTTTGGCCTGTCTCCTACATTTTCTCCATGGGTGCTGAGTAGATCTTCCTTCTGCCAGGGGGCCTCTGAATCTGCACCAGTGGTGCACTTCCTCCAGGAGAATAATTACCCATTTAGGAAGAATAAATCTTCCTGTTTCCTTTGGAGCTTGGCCAATCTGTCATAAATGGTGAGCGGGAGATTTGACATTGGGCAAGAGGAGCATAATGTCCTGCAGTTTTGACCTAGAGTACAGTCTTTACTTCAGCCTAGGTCCCCTAGGTACCTTGAGTGACAGGCTTCTCAGCAGGCTAGGTCACCAGATAAGAGCTGTGCACTCAACTACCAGGGGAACCCCTTCCTCCTCTTCCTGTCACTCATCTCCTTGCCTGTCTGGTTGGAGCCCAAGCTCAACCTTTCTGTCTGATCTTCTTGGATCTCAGCAGAGTGGGTACCAAGACCCCCTACACCTCTTGCCTGGAAGAGAGGCCTGACACTTCTCCAGCAGAGAATCCATGCCAGCCTTGTCCCTTTGGCCTGTCCTCAGCTTCAAGGCTGGTCTGGGTCATATCCGAGATGGGGATTTGTCCTTGGTCCTCATTTCCTTAGGAAATGAAGCTCATTTTTCCTTTACTGCCCCTCTGGTGATCTGTGGCAGCAGTCCAACAGATTGCTGTGACAAGCACAACCAATCCCAGTAACGGTCACCATTTGTAAAAGATTAGGAGTTCACCAAAGGAGCTGTGAAGGCCCTTCCCAACAGTCCAGCTCACAAAATAGCACTCTGACTCTCCCACAGCAAACAGTAACCACAGCCTACTGCACCCACCCAGAGAGTCTCCCTTTCTCATTTTGAAATCCTTCCATCTCTCTTTTGTCCAGGACAGTGGGTGGGAGGTGGAGCTGAGAACACAGGGCAAGTCTCATTTTCCCCTTGTTTTCATCTATACAGACACTGACTTCCCTCTCCCTCTCCGCGGGCAGGGTCAAGGATCTGCTGTGTCACAGAGCTACCCGTGGGCTGCGGTTCTCAGAGATGACCAAGGGAGGGGCTGTTGTTTTCCAGATATCGACGAATGTCGTCAGCCTGGCACTTGCCCTGATGAGAGATGCGTCAATTCCCCCGGCTCCTACACTTGCGTGGCCTGTGAGGAGGGGTACACGGGCCAGAGCGGGAGCTGTGTAGGTGAGGGCCACTTGCCAAGGCACCAGAGGGCTGTTCGGCCTTGGGACTGCTGGTTGAGCCCACACACGGGGACGGAAAGAGGCCGGCAGAGAGAAGGGTTTGGAGGCTGTTGTCCTCCCTGATCGCCGGGCTCCTGGAGAGAGGCCGGCAAAAAGAAGTGTTTGGAGGCTATTGTCCTCCCTGATCCGGCTGGGCTCCCAGTTGACCCTGGGCATGGCATGGGTGTGCTTCCCTTCTGGTGCTCGGCCCTCTGAATCAGCCGGGGCGGGGGCCTCTCTCCCTGGCCACATCCGTTCTGAAGCTACAGCCCAAAGTCCCAGGAGTTTCTGTGGCTGGTTCCTGTGGGGTGGGGTGAGGAACCCCAGTCTTGGGATGAGGCTGAACGGTGGTGATAGGCAGCAGCTAGGTCCCTCTGTTCTGTCCTAACAGCACTCGACAGCAGTTGTCCCTCTCCCTCAAGAGCGGGCTGCATGTGAGCAGCGGGAAGAGCGTCCCCCGCCAACCCCCCACAGGAAGAGGGCCTGGGTTTCAAAATGCCAGAGGGACTGTGTTTTCAATAGCTGCTTTGAGGCTCTGGAGAGGGCAGACAGTTCCCAGGCCCTTGAGACTGCCACAGCCGCCTGGGCCTGGCTGGCTTCTCTCCACACTGCCCACCCATTTATGGAAGTTGGTTGTCAGGCTGGGAACATGGGTTGTTTGGTGGCAGGTAGGAGACTAGAGAGAATTTGACCCATGGTGAGGTGAGTCAAGGTATTTGGACACCTCATTCCCGGTGTCCTCAGATGGAGTAAGCCAGCCTTGGCTTGGTTACCTGGCCCCTTCTAGGATGTATACAGAGCGGTTTGTGTTCTAGATGGGGCTGAGGGAAGCTCAGCGGGGAAGGGATCCTGTCTTGGCTTGGAGGAATGAGGGGATGTGGCTTCATGGCCTCCCTGGCGTGACCCAGGGCCCCTCTGAAGGCTGATTCCCTGGCCTCTCGGGTGAGCTGCTCTAAGCCTGCCAAGGTGGGCTGAATGAAGGAGAGGGGCCAGCCTGCACCCTGGACTTCTCTCCTACAGATGTGAATGAGTGTCTGACCCCCGGGGTCTGTGCCCATGGGCGGTGCATCAACCTGGAAGGCTCCTTTAGATGCTCTTGTGAGCAGGGCTATGAGGTCACCTCGGACGAGAAGAGCTGCCAAGGTATAAAGAGGCCGAAGCCCCCTTTCTCCACAGGCCAGTCCAGTCTGTGGCTCCTTCTGTCTGCGCATGCACCCCACTCACCCGTTCATGCTCTCCAAACCATGCTGCGAGCACATCCCCGCCCACGTGTCAGTCTCTGGCACTCCTGGGATGTCTGCCCTGTAGTGTCACACAGAACTTGATGGCCGGTTTCAGATGTGAATGAGTGTGCCAGCCGGGCCTCGTGCCCCAAAGGTCTCTGCCTCAACACCGAGGGCTCCTTTACCTGCTCTGCCTGCGAGAGCGGATACTGGGTGAACGCAGATGGCACTGCCTGTGAAGGTACCTTGGGCAGCTACCTTCTTACCAAGACTGGGCTGGTGCTGAGGGGCTGTAGATTAGAATAGAGATCTCTGTAAAGGGACTTTGCCCAAAGGACAGCTTCTATTGTCATAATCCTCAAGCTCAAAAGGAAGGGCAGGAGAAAAAGGAGGTCACAGAGGCAAGAGGGAAACTGAGGGTAGAGCTACCACTGGAACTCCCTAGGGAGGAGATGTAGGAGCTGCCTCAGGGAAGGTCCTCAGCAGGGCCTGCCCTTCCCTAGTGGCCCAGAGTCCTCCCTGCTCAGAGTCAGCCAAGAGGTGTGGGGTGGGCCTCACTGGGTGGTGCTAGCCCTTCTGGGTCCTGGCCACGCTGTGTTCTTAGACCTAGATGAGTGCACCTTCCCTGGAGTCTGCCCGGCGGGTGTCTGCACCAACACTGTGGGCTCCTTCTCCTGCAAGGACTGTGATGAGGGTTACCGGCCTGGCCCCCTGGGCCACACCTGCGAAGGTAAGAGCCCACCATGGAAGGAGCACAGTCGGGGTGCAGGGAACAAACCCATCACTGCAGGTGGCAGAACGGACAGGGGTCCCTCTGTCTACCTAGGATGGTGGCTGGCTGGGGACACCTCTCCTCACCACTCCCTGAACAGAAGTCGGACCTAGGGCTCCTGAGCCAACCAGGCTTAGGGCCTTTGTGGGTGTTAGCATCACTGCGGGGCAACGTTCAACGTGCAGCTTCCTAGTCTCCTGCTACACTCCTTCTCTGGACTCTAGTGGGGCCTTGGAATCTGCACTCTGATAAGCTCCTCCAGGATTCCTCGTCAGGGTGGCTGCTGGGAGAGCACTAGCCCCTACCAGGCAGTCTCACGCTCCCATATCTGTCTCCTTGGCTTAGTCCCCATTGTTTCACAATGAAATCTGAGGCCCCTTGGCTGTAATAGGAACAGGGCTACTGGGCAGTGCAGGCAGTGGAGGATCTCAGCCAGAGCAGGGCCAAGTGGTCAGAGCTGTAGTCATCCTGCTTCCCCGGGTGCCCTCCCCAGCTTCCCCCAGATGGCCCCATGGGTCCAGTCTCTGAGGGCAGGTGACAGGTGCTTGCGAGACCTCCCTTCGGCTCTGTCCGGGGGAGGTGCCACTGTCAGCTGCCTCCCTCCCCTGTGTGGCCCTGCAGATGTGGATGAATGTGAAGACCTCCGTAGCAGCTGCCTGGGAGGCGAGTGCAAGAACACAGCAGGCTCCTACCAATGCCGGTGTCCCCCGGGCTTCCAGCTGGCCAACGGCACAGTGTGCCAGGGTGAGCACTCCCGTCTCCCCCTGGGGCTGGGAGCTGAGAAGGTGAAGGTGACAGCACCCAGGGACACTTGCTGCCATCTTTCCCCTCAGATGTTGACGAGTGCGCAGGGGAGGAGCACTGTGCACCCCGCGGCGAGTGCCTCAACAGCCACGGCTCCTTCTTCTGTCTCTGCGCACCTGGCTTTGCCAGTGCAGAGGGGGGCACAAGCTGCCAGGGTGAGACACCAGCATGGCCCCGATGCAGGCAGCAGCCGGGGTGCTGGAGGCTGTCTGGAGTGGAGTCCATCTGAGGACCAGTACTGAAAAAAACCCAAAATGTTCACGGCTTCACCCAGATGCATGGGAGCCAAGTGTCTGGGGAGGGATCTGGAGCCCCTCGGCAGGGCCTCTCCGTGACGTGTGAGGCAGGCACACACCCTCTCCAAACTCTCTGTGTTGCCCTTCTACCCCTGACACAGCCCGGTTCCCCACCCCCAGCACAACCGCTGTTCCAGCTCTGGGCTCTCCATGGGATCTTCTTTTCTACCTCGGCCACTTCCCGGCCCTCCTGGGTAGCTCCAGAGGGCTCGCTGGGGACCTGACAGGGAAGAGACCCATGGCTGAGTCTGCTGACGGATGTTTCTACTGTAGATGTGGATGAGTGCGCAGCTGCAGACCCGTGTCTGGGAGGGCGCTGTGTCAACACCGAGGGCTCCTTCAACTGTCTGTGTGAGCCTGGCTTCCAGCCCTCCCCACAGAGCGGGCAGTGTGTGGGTAAGGGCTGCAGGGGGGTGGACAGGCCCCAGCCCCATGTCTTCCCGCCCTCTCTGGTCCTCAGCTCCCTGGAACAAGGAACTGCGTCTTCCCGGGAAGCAGAGTGCTTTCCATGCGTTGATCATCCAGCAGAGAGAGCATTTATCAAGCCTCTGCTGGCCCAGAGACCGTCTGAGGCTGACAAAATGAAGACAGTCATAATCTTTGTGCTGGCAGAGTGCACAATCTAGTTCTTAAAGGCCAAACTGATAGACATTGAACACCGGCTATGCTCAATGTCTTTTGCTAGAACAGTTATAGACGGTTTTGAAATTGAGCAAGGGAGAAAGACATGAAGACCGCTCCCTGCAATCCACTATGGTGAAAACTGAACACAGAGAGAAGTGTAAAGTGCGCTCCTGTTGGGGACAGGAGGCAGTGGAGGGAAGGGAGTGTCGCCGAAGGCCAGGAGCTCTTCCTAAACAGCATACGGTCCTCTTCCTAGATACTCAGCCCTGCAGGACCAAGGGATGATTCTGAACTGGACGGGTTGGGGTTGAGATGAACACAGTCACTTGGAATAAATCAAGGACCCCAGAGGTTGTGGGATGTGACCTTGTAATGCTAGCAAAGTGGGGCCAGAACAGTGACCTGGTCACACCTGTGCCCTCTTTTGGGGACAGATATTGATGAGTGTGAGGACTACGGAGACACAGTGTGTGGGGCTAGGAGCTGTGAGAACAGCCCTGGCTCATACCGCTGTATCCTGGGCTGCCATCTTGGCTTCTATATGGCCCCGACTGGAGACTGCATTGGTGAGTAGGAGGGCTGAGGACTAGAAATGATTTTCCCCTGTGAATACTGGTTGTGCAGATATTTTCCATACATCAGACCTTATACAAAAATTGAAAAGGAATGTTACTGTTAGAGCTTTTGTGTCCTGTGTTCAGAGACTGCTTTTCACACATCTATTAACAGAGCAGATAAGTATTTTCAGAAAATAGAGCACTCACACTGTCTACCCTGGTCCCTCCTCTCCCATAGACACAGACGAGTGTGCCAATGACACCACGTGTGGGAGCCATGGCTTCTGTGACAACATGGATGGCTCCTTCCGCTGCCTCTGTGACCAGGGCTTCGAGACCTCACCCTCAGGCTGGGACTGTGTTGGTGAGAAGCCTGCGGGCTACCCAAGGTCTGGGCCAGGGAAGGCTCTTGGGCCCTTCTCCTCTCCGTGGGTCTTGAATGTCCTGGACAGAACCCCTAGCGCTCTCCTCCTGAAACATTTAGGGTCACGTGATGGGTCCCCAAAGGGTGGCCAAGGGAGATGTGGAGGACGAAATCTCAGCTGCCCCCGGTAGCTGCCATCTCTGCTGGGCTGGAAGGGGAAGCACAGCTAAGTCCTGCCAGCAGAGGGAGCAAGCAGATGGAGGACACTCACCTACCTCACCCCCACCTTTCCCTAGAGACCTCAGAGTCAAGAGGCACCATGTTTACGGAATGTACAGAGGGATAGCCCTCCTTTGGGCCAAAACTCTTCTCTCTTCCTTCCCAGCCCCTCTGACCACCTGCCCCTCCTCCCTCCTAATTCACACCCACTTTTGCTTCCTTCTGCTGGCCTGGCCTTGCCTGGTTCTTTTGGGGAATGAGGACTTGGCGTGGCTGGGCAGGAGTCAGGGGCAGGGCAAAGGCTGCCTTGTCTCTGCCCACAAGCCTATCCTCATGCCTGGCAGACGTGAATGAGTGTGAGCTCATGCTCGCCGTGTGTGGGGCTGCGCTCTGCGAGAACGTAGAGGGCTCCTTCCTGTGCCTCTGTGCCAACGACATGGAGGAGTATGATGCGCAAAAAGGGCTGTGCCGTCCTCGGGTGGTTGGAGGTGAGCTCTGGGAGCCTCACAGGAATGTCCTGCCCTTCTGTCATTACCCATGGGTATCTACTCCTTTGTCCCAAGGCTGTGAGAGGGGGACTGGGCAGGGTCTGGGCAGTGTTGAAGAGGGGGTTAGGAATGGAGTGTGGAGGGGCAGGAGTCTGAGTCCAGCATGTGCCCAGACAAGGGAGGTTGGCGCCAGACCAGGCAACATCCAGGCACAGGTACGACCACCTAGAGGCAGCTTAGGAAGTTGTGATGATTTAGAGTGGCCCCAAGGACCTCAGATTGAGCCTTGGGACCCTAAATCCACCCAACCCCTAGTGAGTCTTCTGAACAAGGGAGGACTTGTACCTGAGCTGAGCTGGACTCTCCCCTGCCCAGAGCTGCAGCCTCAGCTTCTTGCCTTAGGCTGGACCAGCACTCAGCTGGCCTCAGTGACTTGGGGAGAAGTGAGGAGACCTTGTAGGGAACAAGGAAGTGGGAAGGGCTAGGTACCTGGGAGGTGGGATGATCAGAGGACTCCCTGTTTGTATGGCAGGAGCTGGGAGTGGCCCACAAGGGAGGAAGGCGGGGTAGAACAGAAAGAAGTAGGGGCTTTGAGCTCAAACTCCAGCCTCACCCTTAAGAGCTGTGTGACTATGCCAAGCTGCCAAACGTCACGAAGCTCAGTTTCTTCATGTGTTGCAGGGAAAAGGTAATAGTACCCACTCATAGGGTTGTTGAAAGTACCCAATGAGATATTATAAGTAACAGCATTTTGTAAACTGTAATGCTGTGTAAATATTATATTTAAAAGATATATTCAAGAGCCAGGGTGCCTCAGACAGTCATGTACAGACAGTAACAAGGGGCATCTATCACACAGCTCAGAGCATCCCTGAGGCCCCAACAGGGGACCACGCCTCAGGCCCCACCCGCATGGACTGCTACTTTGGACAGGATGGCCATCTGCCCTGCTCCAGCATCCTGGGCCGCAACTCCACGCAGGCCGAGTGCTGCTGCACCCAGGGTGCCAGATGGGGAGATACGTGTGACCTCTGCCCATCTGAGGACTCTGGTGAGACCCCAAGGCACCCAAATCCTCTTAGAGTTGGCTCTCCAGGGTGACACTTAAGGACCAGGAGGAAAGGGGACACCCGTCCCTCTTGAAACTTGACACCTCCCTTCACAGTTGAATTCAGAGAGCTCTGCCCCAGTGGAAAAGGCTACGTCCCTGTGGAAGGAGACTGGACTTTTGCAGAGACCATGTACACAGGTAACCTCCCTCCACACCCTCCTCAGACAGGAGTGGCCCTGGTCTGGTCCTCCAGGTGGCTTCCATCTTTTTTGGCCGACTCCCCATAGTTTTAGCTGGAAGTTCTGACCTGAGCGCCACCTAGTGTCCACATGATCTTCATTTCAGTTTCCTCCAGGAACAAACTGTGGTTCCTTGACTAGCCCTCATCCCTGTCTTAGTGAGCACGGGGGCAGTGGTCTATCTCCCGTGCTCCACTGACCAAGCTGGAAACTCCGGGGATCCCCTCAGCACCTTAGTCCTAAAGCTAGTCCCGAGCTTGTGTGTGTGTGTGTGTGTGTGTGTGTGTGTGTGTGTGTGTGTGGTACAGGGTACGGAACCCAGGGCCTTAGGCATGTGAGGCAGGTACTCTACTACTGAGCCACTTCTCCAGCCCCAGAGCTTGCTTTTTTTGAGTGTAGCTATGTGTCAAGCACTTATTTTAAGTATCTTTACATGTATTCAAGTCTTTTGTCTTCGTGACAACTAGAAGAGGTTAAGTAATTGGCTACATTTTTTAGATAGAAAACGGGGGCAAGGAGACTATAAACAACTTGCCCAAAGTCACTCTACTCCGAAGTGGCAGGGCAGGGATTCAAACCCACAGTCCAGCTTTAGAGCCTCTGCTTGAAAGAACTCCCTCCGATGGCTTCCTACCTTTCCCTCACCTCCTCTGCCCTCTGCAGATGCTGACGAGTGTGTGCTGTTCGGGCCTGCTCTCTGCCAGAATGGCAGGTGCCTCAACACAGTGCCCGGCTACATCTGCCTGTGCAATCCTGGCTACCACTATTCAGCCTCCCGAGGGAAGTGTGAGGGTGAGGACTGACCTGGCTCTGCCCACTCCCAGCCCGGGCAGCCAGTCCCTCCTGCTGGGAGGCCCCTTTCCTGGGGAAGATGCCTGAGCAGCAGGCAGGTCTGAGGCGAGGGCAGCTCTGGGCCCTCAGAGCTTGTCCCTGGGGAGGGGCCTCCTGGGCCAGGCAGATGTGAGGGGCATCTCTTCTGTGATTCATCACAGGAAAGCCCCTTCCATGCGCAGTCTGTGGACAGGCCACCCTGGCCCTGCTCCACTCCTCCACTCCCACCACCCTCCCACCACAGATCACAATGAGTGCCGGGACATGGCCTGTGAGAATGGTGAGTGTGTGAACACAGAAGGCTCCTTCCACTGCTTCTGCAGCCCCCCACTTACCCTGGACTTCAGTGGGCAGCGCTGTGTGAACAGCACCAGCAGCATAGGTGAGTGGCCTTGGGTGTGGGCCAGGGGTATGGGCACAGGCTAAGGCTCACGTGCCTCTGGGTTCTGTGCCACCAGAGGACCTGCCTGACCATGACATCCACACGGACATCTGCTGGAAGCAAATCACCAATGACTTGTGCAGCCAACCCCTGCATGGGCGCCAGACCACCTACACAGAATGCTGCTGTCAGGATGGCCAGGCCTGGAGCCAGCAGTGTGCTCTGTGTCCCCCCAGGAGCTCGGGTGAGGGGACCCCTGGAAGGCTGGGCCCAGCCTGGGGGGGATCCTAACCTTGGAAAGGAGTAGGGCAGAGTAGTGGCCCTGTCTTCCATCCCCATTGTTTGGGGGGCAGTGGGAGGGGAGTTCTGTCGGAGCTCCCAGAGTACCCGTGCTCCATGCTCCCTCTCCTGGGGGAGTATGCCAAGTGAACCAGCTGATCGGGTTTAGCCAGCAGGAGCTGGAGTCCAGCATCCTCTCCCCCTCCTCCCTGACAGAGGTCTATGCTCAGCTGTGCAATGTGGCCCGGATCGAGGCAGAACGTGAGGCTGGGGTCCACTTCCGGCCAGGATATGAGTACAGTCCTGGCCCAGATGACCTGCACTACAGCTTTTATGGCCCAGACGGGACCCCCTTCTACAACTACCTAGGACCTGAGGACACCATCCCTGAGCCTCCCTTCTCCCACAAGGCCAGACACCCAGTCCTTGAGCCACCCCTACAGCCCTCCGAACTCCAGCCCCACTATGTGGCCAGCCATCCAGGTGTGTAGCCAAAAGTGGGAACGAGGTGAGCTCTAGGCCACTGCCCTTTCATCTCCCCTAACTGCCAGTCCTACTGCCAGCAAGGTGAGGATGGGGAAGGGAAAGATGCACTGAGCCATATGTCCCTGCTTATGGGTCACGGCGCCAAATGCTTGGGTCAGGCCCCACCAACTCCCTGTCATGAGTAGCACAGGGACACAGGTACAGGACACTGTCCCAACCTTGAAAGTCTCCCTGTGGAAGTTGGAAGCGACAGAAAGTGGCATGCTGCCATCTCTTTTCTCCACACCACTTACAGGATGCAGAACAGCCTGTTCCAAGGAAACCTGGCAACTGAACTTTGCAATGTGAAATGCGAATTAAGGATTTCTAATAGCCTTAAAAGCCCACTGTGCTGATCCCCACCCCATTTTGTGACTGGCACGATCCTGGAACTCACGTTTTGGATTCTCAAGAAAGTCAGGCCCAGCATTTGTGTGGTGGGCACAATACCTGCCACAGGGGTCGCCATTGTGTCGGATTGGGACCACCCTGTCACAGGAGATTGGGTCGTTGTTAAGAGGGTGTGGGTTACTCAGGGAGAGAGGATAAAGCAGATCAAGTTTGCTTTGTGTTGAGGCTCCTCTGCTGCCAACCCTGCACCCCAAAGACATCCATACCAAACCCCAGAAGTATACAGAAACATGCAACTGGGCAGGACCCGGCCATTGTGAAGTCCCACCACTGGAGCCTCCGTTTAATAAACGGCACAGTATGGCCCATTTTAGCATCTTCTCCAGCCCATCCTCACCCACGTCATTCACCCTTTGTTCCTGAGGGTGAGGGTCTCAGCCCTCTGCTGCTTCCCTCTGACTGCCCTCCCTCTCGCCAGAGCCCCCCGCCGCCTTCGAAGGGCTTCAGGCCGAGGAGTGCGGCATCCTGAACGGCTGTGAGAATGGCCGCTGTGTGCGTGTGCGGGAGGGATACACCTGCGACTGCTTCGAGGGCTTCCAGCTGGACGCAGCCCACATGGCCTGCGTGGGTAAGTGCAGAGTCCGGACAGGAAGCGAGTCCAGCCCGGCCCATAGGGAATGCGCTTGAGGGCTGGGAAATCCGCTGTCGCCCCCTAGTGGGCTACCTGGTCTCAAGGCAGCAGATAGCAAGCCAAGGGGGTCTGATGGCTGGCTTCCAAAGCTGTTCTACGGGGCTACCCAACAAGGAAGGGAGGAGAGGGCATGGTCTTGGGCTCGCTGCAAGGTCACTTCCCCTTACTTTTTGTCCTTGAGTTGTTTGGCTTGGGGAGGTGATTCAGCCTCTGCTGTCACATCCAGGATTCCATCACAGGGTAGGGGACCAGGGTTTGGTGACCAGAGGGGCAGAGGGCTCCCCACAGCTTTCTCCTTTCCCTTCCTCTTAGATGTGAACGAGTGCGATGATTTGAATGGTCCTGCTGCCCTCTGTGCCCATGGTCACTGTGAGAACACAGAGGGTTCCTACCGCTGCCACTGCTCCCCAGGTTACGTGGCCAAGCCAGACCCCCCACACTGTGCTGCCGAGTAGCAGTGAGGAGTGTGGGCAGCTACCTGGAAATGGTCTCCAGCCACACGCAGAGGCCTTGAGGATGCTTTCCTAGCTGAGAAGACACCGTGACAACATCAGGCTGGGGTCCCACCGGCCAGCTCCATCAGACTTGCCTTTCGTCTCTCCCAGCTTAGGCTCTGGCTGTGAGCTTGTCACTGCCTCCATGCCCTTGCTTGGCTCAAACACCGCCAAATGCTTTTAACGCTTCGGCCATGGGCCGTGAGGCCCAGCCCACCACCTGTCCCAGCCTTGCTGTGGGATGCTATCAGAAGGCCCTCTCCCTCCCCTTCAGGCTGTGCAGACCTGAAAGCCCAGTGGGCTCCCACTGCAGGTGCTCCTTTCCACCCATGACCTACACATCATCTCACTGACTCCACAACTGGGACAGAAGCTACGTCTGCCCTGGGATGGTCCTTCAGAATCTGAGCAAGAAAGGGTTTGGCAGTTTGGGGGTGACTCCAATGCCCCTTTTAGAACTGTCACTGCCACACAGCTAGTCTGGGCCCTGCTTTTGCAACATCTCCACCATGCAGCCAGTTCTGTGGCCTCAAGGAAGGAGAGAAGATCCCCTCATCTGAGAAGCAAGACTGGTATTAGCTGGCTCCGTGTAACAGACTGAAATGAAGAGGAGAAAAGAGCTGGAAAAGCAGCAAGAGGGCACAAGAAAGCAGTATGAAAATACAGGAAGCTGATACAATAGGGGATACAAGTCTAAAGAAATATTCAGTAGCTTTGGGTGAATATTCAAATTTCATCCAGTGATAGCCCCTGTGCACTAGCAGCAAGGGCTGCCACAGAGTACTCGTCTCCAAAGACCTTTATTAAATATATATACACTTCTTACAGGAATCAGATCTCCTCGGTGAAAGCCAGTTTGATCTGCTAACAATAAAAAGGTCTATTTTCTAGTGTGAGCTTGTTTGGAGGAAGCCAGATTTATAATATTGTGTTCTCTTCTGCTTGGAATCCCCACCCTCCACTTCAGAAAGCCCATGTCTGGAATCCCTCTGGGCTTACAAGCAGACTCTTTGCAGACCAGGCTAGCTGGGAGTTCAGAACCATGGTAAAGAAATATACATCCTGGCTCTTCTGTTCCCGTTTTTATTTCTGTTAGGCCAGCTTTCTGTACCACACTGGCTAAGTCTAAAAATTAAGAGATGAGGCCACTCTGGCAATAGCACACTATTGGGTTCCAATGGGGAAAAGCTCTTTACTACTTAAAGACAAGGAAAATTCTGACTGTATTTCTCTGATGAATAGCAATGTAAATGAGGCTGCATGTGACTAGAGATGGAGGTAAATGCTACTTTCTTAATTTAATCTGTCCTGTCCTACCTGCTGTTCTGATTGTCAGCCATCACATAATAATTTATTGAAGGCTTGTCACATGCCAGGGACTATGTTCAGTGCTGTGCATAAATTTCATTTAATCATCCAACAACCCTATTTCTTTTTATTCTCCATTTACCAGTGAGGAAATGGAGGCAAAGAAAGTTAAAATAATTTGCTGCAAGTCACTATAGTAGTTGAGCTGTTTTTAGAAGACAAAAATGTTTCTTAAACGTGAAAATATTCTTCCATTAATAATAAAAGAAATGTAACTTAAAATGCAGTGATACACTTTTTTAAAAGATTAGCAAAGATCAGAAACTTTGTTAAGACTCCTAGTTGGCATCTAGCAAGCATCTAGGGAAACAGACACTCTCATACTAGCTGATAGGAGGTACAACCTTTCAAGAGGACAGTATGAGTGTGTCTTTCAAAATTATAACAGTACTAACTTCTAGGAATTTAATATTCAGATGTTAACTTCCACACCAAATGTGAAATGACGTGTGTAAAAGGTTATTCATTACAGTATTATTTGTAATAGCAAAAGATTAGTTACTATGGAAACAAAAAAAGCTCTAATGCCTTCTTAGAAGATACCCAAAACAGACCAAGAGATTATACACCAGTGTTAACATATGCTGCTACTTGTCTAAAAAGAAGTGGGTTAACCTCATCCTTGCCACTCTAGCTCATACCCATCATTCACAGCATACTCTGCTGTGCCCAGTGCCCTACCCCTAACCCTCCAAACCTTCCTGCTACTTCTTCTTCTAGACATACTGTGCGCATGTACACATTTCCTTTTCCTAAAAGCACAAATGGTATATTATGCATGCTGTTCTGTACTTTGCTTTCGTCACCTTATACTTACATAAAGAATTGTCTCATTCTACTACATAGCTGTATACCATTCCACTGAATGGATAAAACATAATCAATCAGTTCCTCATTGACAGACATTCCCGTTGTTTCTTATCTTTTGCTTATGATACTGTAATGAATATGCTTGTGCATATGTTATTTCAAATTATATTTCTGGGATAAATTCTTTGAAACAATTGTGGTTTGTGGGGAGGGTGAGAGGGTAGATAGGAACAATACTGGGAGACTTTTCACTGTTAAGCCCTTTTGTGTTTTTTTAAACTTGTACATGTATTACTTATTCAAAAAATAAAATATTTTTAAATACAGCTGTTCGTCAGACTGCTTAAATGCCCCTCATTCTATTATCTGATTACACTTTACAATTAAAACCAGGTGATAAATATTTGAAAATTTTATAAAGCACACTTCCACTAAGCATCCTGGTACCATTTTTATGGGGAAAGGACAAATGGATTTTAAGACCGCAATTATAAGTATCAATCTCAGATATCAAGAAAAATAAAGGCGTTTCTTGCCTTTTGGACAAATATGCAAAACCATAATGTTGCCACTGACAGGATTAGGCCCTGCTGAAGGCCAGTTGCACAGCATTACTCTGGGGCTAGAATTCAAGGGAAGGCTATCCATTCCTCACACCTGGTTGCTCCTGCCCAATGTCAGCAATCTAATCTGGTGAACTGTTTGATTTGGTTTTGTTGTTTTTTTGGTGGGGGGGGTACCGGGGATTGAACTCAGGTCCTTGTACTTGCAAGGCAGGCGCCAGAACCACGGAGCTAAATCCCTGGCCTTGGTTTTGGTTTTTGAGAAAGGTCTTGCTATGTAGTTCAGACTGGCCTTGAACTCGTGGCAATCCTCCTGCCTTAGCCTCCTCAGTGCTGGGATTACAAGAAGGTGCTACTATGCCCAGTTTAGTCTCTGAACTGATTTTTTTCCTACTAATCCCTTGAAACCTTCCCACAAATCCCAGGTTAAGTCAGAGAGGGAGGGAGGAAGGAAAGGAGGGAAAGAAGGGGGAAAGAAGAGATGGGAGTTACTGCTTAATATGTATGATGCCCTGGCCATGGGTATAATCCCCACTACAGAAAGGAGGGGAGGATAATGACATCCACCTAATGCAGAGAATTAAAGCCAATTCTGCAACAAATGAGGCCTTGACAATCTCTCCTGGAAAGTAATAGGAAAGCTAAAGATCTTCCAAGTGATATGGGAGTATAAAGTTTTCCTAAATGATTTGGACAGTGAACAAAAGTTGTGAAGACATCTGCTGGCATTTGTGGCCTGTTGGGAAGAGGGTATCTGGCTAGAAAGGGCCTGCAGATGATCCTAAATCTGTTTACAATGTTGATTACTCAAGCAAATGGACTGGCATCCTCTTTCTGCTATCATTACTGTGTTTTTTTGTTTTTGGGTTTTTTTTTTTTTTGTGGTACTGGGGATCATGCTCGGGGCCCTTGTGCTTGCAAGGCAGGCAGTGGAACCACTGAGCCAAATCCCCGGCCCCTGCCGTGTGTTTTTAAAATCACCCCTCCCATGAACACTTCTTGGTGCCACATCCAGTCCTCTCAGTGTGAAGTTGGGTGTGTTTTCTCCCTAATCCACCTATTTCTAAACTCAGAATTCCAATTCTCCCACTTATAGTATATAACTTCTATATTCCAAGGGAACTTGATTCTGCCCAGTTGACCACTGCAATTTAATGGGATATATATTTAGCAACTACAGCTTTGCTGCTTAGACTCTGGAGTTTTTAAACCACCAAATCAATAAATACCTATAAAAATATTCAGGATAGGTTCTAACATTTAAAATGTAGCAAAATCTCTTTTGAACGATGATGAAAGGACTTAAGTAGTATAAACTGAAACTCTTATTAGATCAGGTACTGGCGGCAACTTTCCATCTTAGTAATGCGAGTATGCAGACATTTCCGTTACACCCTGCTTTCTGCGTCCTTCCGTGGGAGGCTAAGAAATCTGTTTAGGGATCCAAGAATTCCCTTCTTTCTTTTAACCACATGATAGGTTTGTTTCCTCTAAATTCTAGGTTCTCTTTTTTTTTTTTTTTTGAGACAGGGTAATTGCTGCACAGCCCAGGCTGGCTTTGAACTTGCGGTGAGCGGTCTTCCTCAGCCTCCTGAGTGCTGGGATTACAGGCATGCACCACTATGCCCGGCAGTATGAGGTTTTCTCACATTTCCTTTTTTTTTTAATGGCAAGTTTTCTTATTAAATAACCTTAATTCCTACCCAGGTCAGCAAATTTTGCTGTAACAAACTTTTAGGCTCCCAAGAAAAAGATGGTTTAAGAAATAACTCTTCCAGAATCAATCCAGGTTGTAATTTCCTCCACTTTAGTATTGTTGTGATGAGACACATAAGTATGAGACATACTTATTTAGAAAGATTAAATAAGGGCCAGGGATTTAGCTCAGTGGTTTCACCACCTATCTTGCAAGTGCAAGGTCCCAAGTTCAATCCCCAGTAAAACATACCCAAAAAAGACTAAACAACACACTTATACTAAAAAAGCTACTGTTTACCTGAAATTCAAGTATAACTGGGCATCCTGCATTTCATCTGGTAACCAAAAAAAGCCATTATCTATTATCTACATTAAAAAAGAAACTACTTCCTGCTCTGAATGAGACCAAAGACATTTTCCACCATAAGGCAGGTGAAGCAACATATCCTGAGAAGACTGTTACTAAAGGGTCATAGACCCTTCAAATGTCTACATGAGTACAGAAAGGCTGTTTTTCAAGTATTTCAGGTATCTGCAAGGGTTTGATCCAAGTCTTCTGGTGGATAGGCTCTTGGTTTTATGAATCCTAGCAGACTGACAAGTATGATAATAAAATGTATCTGCCTGTCGCACTGGAAATGGCAAATGGGCTACATTAGAAAATAAAAATAAGTCAGTAGCACATTCTAGATGTGTGAAATGAAAAAGACATTTCATTTGCCTTTCTCATCTGTTCTGTCTTAGTAACTGATGTTCAAACTGCCTAATGTAATCCTGATTCAAACACAATAAGGACTTCCTTTAAAATGAGGTTTTTATACATAGCTATACACATATGTACAAGCAGTCCTAAAGGCCAAAGTAGTCACTCCAAATTTTGGAGCTTTGGGGCTGGGTTTCAACCAGTGATTAAATCTGAGGTAACAGCATTTGGAAAGTTGGCCTTAGCATCACATAGAGGGCAGGTGGAGGGAGGCTATTTTGTCTAAGTGAGAAAGCTTCACATTTGGGAAATAATAGCGGCAAAACACACACTCCTGGATTAAGAAAAATAAAATTGAGAGAAGGATATGATTAGAAAGAAACCTCTAGAATTCTGTAACCCCAGGTTTCTCAGATTAGTACAGCTGGTGGCAACCTCAGGGTCACCTGTCATCTTGTCAAAGTTTGATAGAAAAGGATGACCCACAGGAACATCCTTGCTGTGCTTGAGGATTGTTCAACACTTGAAATGAGCTTCGGATCAGTTCTCGGCTGAAGTCCACCTGGGCGCCTTTCACGAAGGCCAGGCTATCAGAGTCAACCACCACTCTTGCGCCACCCTGTTCAAATACCCTGAAAAAACAGGAGGAATGCAGCAGTGAATGTCATAAACACCAAAACCCTCTGAGGCCAGAGGTGCACCTTCTCTTTTTTTCTGAAACATTTCTTATTACCTCAAAGAGGTGCTGATTATTTTGAAGCAAAAAGAGTTAATGGACTACTGAAAAATAATTTTTAAGAACTTGGGCTTGGAATCTAGTCCAGCTGGACTCTCTATCCTATGGACCTAAGCAGCCAATTTTCCAGCAATAATGAAGTTGTATTGAATCAGGATGACAAATGTTCGCTCCTCAGTGTGAGATGGACGTTATTAACCATTTTACAATGGCTACAAAGTCTTTCGATTTGTCCTAACAGTGCACACTGAACCCCCATACATCCTGCGGACCCACCCCTTCCCTCCTTGCCTGTCGTCGGGGTTGATAACTGTATCCAGTGAAAATTTGTATTGGAATCCGGAGCATCCACCTCCCTCCACCTGCAGCCTGAGGAATTCTGACTCTTCGGTGATTTCCAGAAGCCTCTGAGATGCAGAAAGGGGATCAAGAATTCCAAACGGTGGAGGCACAGGTGAGGGAGGTCCCCGCGCTCCCCGCACTCACCTGGGCACCGCCGCCCCGCTTCGCCCCCTACCTGGACGCAGCTTTCCGTGAGGCGGATCTGTCCTTCGCCAGCCTCTGGGCCGGAGGACGACTCTTCCCGACGCGCCTGAAGTTCCGCATAGGCCTGGAGGATCCTGTCGCACAAGGAAGAAAGATGCGCCCGGGAGCAAAAAGGGCACCTGGAGACCCTCACCTGGACGACTTCCCGCCAAACCTAGAGACTCCACCTGGACTGTATCACGCCAAACCCTCCCCTCCTCCGTGGGTCTTAGTTTCCCATTTGTCCTGGAGGGACAGAAACTAACGTCCTTCCCAAGTGCCCTTCCAGCCTTGGTACCTTCCCCTCCGCCCGGGAATGACCGCTTTCAGCACAGAGGCCGTTAGAGACGGAGCCCTGACCGCAGCCATCTTTCTCACAAAACCCCGCCCCGCGCATCGCCCTTATTCCCTCCTCCGCCGGGACTCCGGAGGACCGGGAGAGGCCTGTGGGCGGGACCTCAGCGAGTTCCCACCCCCGAGCGTTTCTATTGGTTAGTCCAGGGAGAGCGGGGCTTGATTGGCTACAAATGCTCCCACTGCGGCAGTGCGGACGCGCCAATACAGACCGGTCGGTGCAGAGCTGCTTCTAGGCCGGCCCCGCCACTGGTCGAAAGGTGGGCGGAGATAGCTAGCTGGCTCTGGGCCGGGATCACAGGGGCGGGACGTGGGCGGGCCTCAGCGGTGTTTGCTGGGGACAGGTTGCCTGATTGGGCTCCTCCTCGGCCAGCGCCTACAACTTTATCTTGTGACTGCAGCTGGCGCTTCTTCCTTCCTCGAGCTTGGATCCTCGCTGTCCACTATGCGTTTCCTGGCCGCCGCCTTCCTGCTCCTGGTGTGCATCGTCGCCGGCCAGGCCGAGCTGGTCCGGTACAAGGACTGCGGTGAGCCCCGGCCCCCCCGAGCTCCGCGCGCCCTCTAGGGAAGCCCCACTCCCTCCCCGGCGTCCAGCGCTGACCCCGAAGCTGGGCTGGGCAGCGTCCTCGGATCGGAAGGCTCTGCCTCTGACCCCGGGTGGAGTGGGCTGGGTTGGGACAGGAGTTACTCCACCAGCTCTTATGAAACTTGACCGCGCACAACTCTGTCTCTTTCCTTGCAACAACATGTATTTTGGGGGTCCCTGGATTCTCCTGAGATGGACCTGTTGTCAACGTTCTCTAAAGTCTGTAGGGCAGACGTCTGAATGTCTGTATCCTGCGCCGCGGTTTAGGAGAGGAGCGCAGAACTTTTTATTAGGTTTTTTTGTTTGTTTGTTTTGGTACCGGGGATCGAACTCGGGATCTTGCGCTTGCGAGGCAGGCACCGCAGCCCCGAGTTAAATCCTCGGCCCATTTTATTATGTTTTGGTTTGGGTTAGCCCGCCCATCCCCCACCCTGCCCCTTCTGCTCCCCGTTGCCTTTCTTAATTTCCCTCTTGCTGACAATTCAAAAGTCAGTTCTCTTTTCATGATTTAGTCTGTCACAGAATATCTTCTTTTGGACTGGAGTTTTGGGATTCTTAATCCGTTTTCCTCATGTGTGTAATCCTGTCTTGTGACACGTTACTCCCTCTCAACGCTGTGATTGGAATCTTTGTTGGAAAATGCAACGGGCGTAGGAATTCTGAGTTCATTCCGTCGAGTCTGTAGAATTAATTGTTGGAGCAGAACTGAACAGTTCTGTTGGAAGATTGGAGGTGCAGAGGTGCAATGATCAATGAAAGAGACAGGATACTGGTTTTGTAGAAATACCTGAGCCAGAAGGAAACCTGAAAGTCAGGTAGTCAATCGGTGAATTCCAGGAACGTTAGGTAGCCGGCTTACAAGTAACTGAGATAAGTTTGCTCCTTTATACGTAGGTAATAACTACTCAATAAAATTTGTTGAAGAGGTAAATGAGGAGATATATATTCTTTCCACTGGGTCACAAAAATTCATGTTGAGTCAAAAACCAAGTTGAGGGCTGGGGGATTGGAGTGATTGAGGAATAAAGACCTCTGGCCTATTAACACTTAGCAGATGCTGTTTATTTGAGGTAGGAGTCTGGTACTTGAAAAATGCAACTATTGCTTCCACCTAATGCCTTTCCCTCCACTAAACTTAGTTCTGGTTGTTTTTTTATTTTATTTATTTATTTATTTATTTATTTATTTATTTATTTATTTATTTATTTTGTGACGGTCTCACTATGTAGTGGAGACTGACCTGGAACTCACTATGTAGCCCAGGCTGGTCTCAAACTCACAGCAATCCTCCCCTCAGCCTCTTTTTGTGACGGTCTCACTATGTAGTGGAGACTGACCTGGAACTCACTATGTAGCCCAGGCTGGTCTCAAACTCACAGCAATCCTCCTGCCTCAGCCTCCCGAGTTCTGGGATTACAGGTGTGCACCACCACACCCGGTTTAAATTTAGTTCTTAATTGTTTCTTATATTAACCCCTTCATACATATGGTTTGCATATACAGTACTGGGACCTGTGCTTATGAGGCAGGTGGTGGCACCACTGAGCTAAATACCCAGCCCTCCACTAAGCTCAGTGACTAACATTTGTTTTTGTTTTTTTGTTTTGTTTTGTTTTGTTTTGTTTTGAGACAGGGTCTCATTATGTAGTTGAGACTGTCCTGGAACTCACTGTGTAGCCCAGGCTGGTCTCAAACTCACAGCGATCCTCCTGCCTCAGCCTCCCGAGTGCTGGGATTACAGGCGTGTGCCACCATGCCCAGCTAGTGACCAACATTTGGAAGATGACACTATTAATTTTATTCAGTTATTCTGTTGATGATCTATTTTATAGAAGCTGAAACTAAGACACATAGAGTAACTTGCCCAAGATCTCACAGCTTATAAGCAGGAGGAAACTGATGGGTCTTTATGAGCCACTTTGGATTTCACTGGTAACAAGAAAGAGGGAGAGGCAGAGGAGGGAGAGGGAAGGAGGACAAAGAGAAGGAAGGAGAGAGAACTGAAATCCTAAAGTTCTATTCATTTTGGAGAAAAAAGGCAGATACAACCCATGGGAAACCTTAAATAATTTCCATCACATATTTTCAATTTACCTTTTTTTGAGACAGCCTAGCTATGTAGTTTAGTCTGGCCTTGAACTCACCACATAGCCCACACTGGCCTCAAAACTTGCAGCAGTCTTTCTGCCTCAGCCTCCCAAATGCTGGGATTGTAGGTGTGCACCACCACACTAGGCTCTCGTATACTTTTTTTTTTTATAGACAGGGTCTTTCTATGTATATGTAGTTCAGACTGTCCTCAAACTCACCGTGTAGCCCTGGCTGGTGTAGAACTCATGATGATCCTCCTGCCTCAGGCTTCTGATTACTGGGATTACAGTCATGCCACTACCATGCCTGGCCCTCGATTTACTTTTGAATTGAGAAATACAGTGTGAAAACTTGAGCACCCACATCAAAAGATTTTGCATTCCACTCCATCCTCACTTTTCCTTGGAGTGGGACTTCAAGTAAGAAATCAGACGAAGCAAGGTAGTTTTGCAATGTTTTCGGGTTAGAGCAGAGGGCTTTCTTCTATAAAAGTTCAAGAACCTCTTGTTAGGGGGCCAGGGATGTAGCTCAGTGGCATAGTGCCTACCTGGCAAGCTTGAGGCCCTGAGTAAGAGTCCCCATACAGGGTGGAGGGGACCTCTTGTTAGCAAAAAACTGGATGAAAGAGCTATAAGCACTCCACAGCTTTCAAAGAAGCAGGTAGAAGCTGGACCTGGAATGCCTCAGTATAAGCATTGATTTTCCACAGCTTGTTAACATCAGGGAAGATGGGATGGAATGAAAGTGAGTGCTTCTCAAAGGTGCTGAGTGTGTGTACAGTTTGAACTTTTGCTGTGAGGGAGAAGCAAGTTGGAGGGTAAGAGACTGAAGACTGTCATTTACAGACCTAGCCGGAGGCTTGGGCATTTGGTGTTGTGGTGATAGAAGTGATTTAGAGGGACTTTTCAGCCGAAGGGCAGGAACAGGAAGCATCAACAGAGTGCATCTGTTTGGGCAGCACTGTTCCCATTGTCCTACGCAGTACTGAGCTAATCTGACTGCACAGCACAAAGTATCCTCTCCACCTACACTACACCAGCTATCTTCATACATTCTGCTTTTGAGACAGTAAGAGTCCATATTATTAGCTGGAAACAGAATCTCTGTAAATGAAGTATACTTAGGGAGAGAAACTCAGCTTTGGTGTCAAAGGGGGATTTGCTAACCCTCTGGATTAAATTCCTGAGCTGAGTCAAGATATGATGATAACCCTAAGTAGTACTCCTGTGTTCATCACTAACCTAGAGCTGGATGTGTGTTCTATGACCCATTCTATACGATGGAAATCCTTAGCCAGGCGTGGTGGCGCATGCCTGTAATCCCAGCACTCGGGAGGCTGAGGCAGGAGGATCGATGTGAGTTCAAGACCAACATGGGCTACACAGTGAATTCCAGGTCAGTCTCAACTACGTAGTGAGACCGTGTCTCAACCAAAAAATAAATAAATAAATAAAAGGGAATCCTTTTTATTCCCAGATGTTAAGTGTTTTGAGGTTCACAGTATGTAGTGGAGCTAGTGAGATTTCAAGCCCAGGCAGCAGTCCCCAGAGTCCACCTCAGAGCAGGATGGCAGCACTTAACTTAGTCTCACGGGCACTGTTACCTCCCTTTCAGCAGTCCAGCTTCCAGAGGACAGGACAGAGAAATGAGATTTTCCAAGACTCAGATTTTGTGTGTGTGTGTGTGTGTGTGTGTGTGTGTGTGTGTGTGTGTTGTACAAAGAGCACTTTTGTCCTTGGTTAAGATGATTTTGTTTTTTTAAAGATACACACCTTGCCCTTGAGACGTAAGTTAGAGAACATAGATTTCCAGAGTAAATATCCATCTATATATTGCAGATCTTATTGGCAGGGGTCCATGGTCAAACTTGAGGGTCCACTGACTTGAAAAGATAGTGGGGAGAGATGGAGACAAATCGGAAGCAGCTGGTCTTAGGATTGCAAATGCAGATGGTAGTGCTGCAACTTGAGATAGGCCGGTATGATGTGCACTACTTTACAACCTTGTGTTGGGATAGAAGGGTTCCCCTGGTCTTCATCTCCCAAAGTATAGAACAGGGAAACTATTCATATGTATACTTTATCATTTACAGCGTTCCCCTGAACCTAGAGATTAAGAGCAGTTTGTAGCTCCTTTTGGAGAGAGCTCAGATTTATAGAGTGTCTAGTGTTCCTCAGTGCGTCTGTTAGAAGACTCCCGGGCTAAACCTAGTTTTTGAATGATAAATCGAATTTTGCATCTGCCTAGAAACAGCAGTGACAGGTCAGATCAATTGTTTCCTGGCACATTCCAATATCTGACTTATATTTTAGGCATATATAGTATTTGCAGACATATTTTCAGCAGCAATTTAGACCTAGGCAAGTAAGAACCTCAGAGGAGAAGAAGCCCAGACTCAAGTGTAGTCTCTAACACGGCTGTTATTTCTGCTATCTTGGCTGTGTGAATCAGCCCTATTTGGCTTAAGGTTAAATTAGGGCCCTAAGTTTTTACTGGAGCTATAAAGACTTTGACCTCTGTCCTCTTTATTTCTTTTGATACTTGTGGGGAGAACATCAAGGTCCTAATGACTTAGTCAAGATCTGAGGTACTGCCTGTAATTTTTTCACCTGAGGCATTTTGCGACTCATTAGTGAGCCTCTTGGATTTCTTTCCTCAGAGTACATGACCGATCATAATGAGAACTCATGTATTGTGGAGATGGTTCCGTTCCCTGTTCAGAAATAAAGGTAGTCTCTATCCCTCTCTGTCTGTCTGTCTGTCTCTCATTTTGCTTAAACTAGTACGGATTAATTCTCTTACAGTTCCAGGGGGTAGGCACCTGACAGTCCCCCCAAGCTAAGCTAAAGTCAAGTGTGGGAAGGTAGGCCTTCCATCCTGGAGTCTCTAGGGGGAATCTCCATTTCCTGGCTCTTTTCTGTTCTCCTGGGTTTTTGGTTCTCTGTCTCTCTCTCACTCTCTCTCTCTCTCTCTCTCATTATTAGTGCGTATTAGTTATACAGACTACAGGGAACTCCTCTCTTAAGGGTCATACTTTAGGATCATTCTTCTGTTGAGGGTTAAGATGTTAGTTTCTCTTAAATTCCCTAGTCCACTTACTTGCAAGTGAGTGAACTAACTTAAAAAGCAAAGACTAGATGTTCTGGCACATTTCATTTTTTTACCTGTACTTTTAATACTATACCTTATTTCTTTACGAAACCAGGCTGGGATGAAAGAATGAAGATATTTCAAGAAGATAGAATATGGGCAAAGGGTTTACCAGGAGTTTGGGGCAAGGACATAAAATCTGGACAGGAGATATTTCATCACTGAATATCACAAAGGATAGGGAAGTTGAACCTTTAAGATAGAAAGAGTAACTAGGGCTGGGATGAACTCAGAGGTAGAGCACTTGCCTAGCATGCATGAGGTTTTGGGTTTGATCCCTAGCATTGTGGAGGGAAGGAAGGGAAGGAGGAAAGGAAGAAAGAAAAGCAGGAGGAGGAGATGGGGGGAGAAAGACACCAAATCAGGCCAATTCCTTGAGTCTTGGATATGCCTTTTCCACACAGTGTGACCCTGGACAACTCACTGTAATCTTAATGCTTCTCTGTTTTCTAACCTCTAAAACAAGGAGGTTAGATTGTGAGGTCTGTTTTTTTGTTTGTTTTGTTTTGTTTTGTTTTTCTCAAGTGTCTGAACTTTCCCTCATCCTTGCTACCCAAGGTACAACTCCCACAGGGCCTCAAGATGAATGACTCAGGAGCTAAAACTTGAAAGAAACTCTAAAGAGGTTTTGTCTTCTCTGGGCTCTGGCAGATTTTACAACAAATACCAAACTGAAAGCAGCATTTGCTTTGTAACACCTGAGGGAGAAAGATGGCTTAAATTCCTTCCATCTCCCTTCATAGCAGGTTTGCCTTCCAGCTGGTTTTGCATTAAGTATGGTCCTGTTCACCCACTCCAGCCCCCAGCAAACAGCTTTAATCAAATTTATATGCTTAACTCTGCTAGAAAATGAAAAGGGAAACAGGAATATTTTAATAAGAAATTCAGAGGAAGATCGAGACAAATATTTTCAAGGCTTAAGTTTAAAGTATGACCCTTTGCATTAGGAATGCAATACAAGATCTAGGACCAGCCAGGCATAGTAGTGTATACCTGTAATCCCAGCACTTGGGAGGCTGAGGCAGGACAATTGCTGTAAATTCAAGGCCAGCCTGGGCTACACAGTGAATTTAAGGCTGACCCAAACTACATAGCGAGACCTTGTCTCAGCAAAAACCAAAAAAGAAGAATCTGGGAATATGTACCAACTCACCATGATGAATGTAGTCATTATGTACTACAAATATGCACTAAAATTTTTTTATTAATCTAGGAGCATTCTGAGTTTCTTTAGTTATGATTTAATCTCTAATCTTTTTGGCACATGGTCTCTGAATATTTGACAAATATTAACTTTTGTCTTCATCAAGAAAGGAGCTAGAGGCTGGATGTGGTGGCGCACGCCTATAATCCCAGCACTCGAGAGGCTGAGGCAGGAGGATCGCTGTGAGTTTGAGACCAGCCTGGGCTACACAGTGAGTTCCAGGTCAGTCTCAACTACAGAGTGAGACCCTGTCTCAAAAACCAAAAAAAAAAGAAAGAAAAAGAAACGAGCTAGATGATTTTTGGTCCAATTTATAGGATGTGATTTTAGCAGTAAGTTGAATCAGGGTTCTCATTTTTTGTGGAGTTGTTTGAGAGAATTTGTTTCTCTGTAGTGGCCTCAAACTTGCAGTCCTACCTTGGCCACCTGAGTGCTAGGATTGCAGGTGTGTGCTACCTTGCCTGACACAATTCTCTCTCTCTCTCTCTTTTTTTTTTTTTGAGACAGGGTCTCATTATATAGTTGAGACTGAATTGGAACTCACTATGTAGCCCAGGCTGGTTTTAAACTCACAGTGATCCTTCTGCCTCAGCCTCCCCAGTGCTGGGATTACAGGCGTGCGCCACCACGCCCGGCTCACGATTCTCTCTTTAATTGTACATTGTCCTAAAGATTCCATCCTAGGAAAGTAGTCAAAAGGAGATGAGAGGGTCTGGGGATTTAGCTCAGTGGTTCCGCCTCCTCCCTCACAAGCACTAGGTCCTGAGTTCAATCTCTGGTAGCCAAAAAAAAAGAAAAAAAAGAAAATGAGAGCCCTAATTAGGAGAGGAGAGCACAGGCCCATTAGGAAGTGGGCAGCATCCGTGGTGTACCTTTCCTCCTATTCCAATTCCTTTTCTTTCTTTCATTTTATCTTTGCAGGCTCTGAGGTTGGAATTATAAAGGAGGTGAATGTGAGCCCATGTCCCACCCAACCGTGTGAACTGGACAAAGGACAGACCTACACCGTCAATGTGACCTTTACCAGCTGTGAGTAAATGTGGCTTTTAACCTAAAATTCATGCTAACACATAACATAAACAGCAAGTGTTGGATGAGCACAGGGATGTAAGGGCTGGGAAGGTGACTGTCAGGAACTCTACGACCTCCCTTTCAACTTGTGCAAAGCTGGGATTTACTATTCCCAAGACACCCTTCTCATACTGGGTCCCCGTGTGCCGCTTTCTCAGAGTCCAGGCTCACTGGACTTCAAGAGGGTACTTTCCCTGTGTCTATGGGTTGTCTCATCTCTGTCCTGTCTTAGCCCATGTTGCACAACAGGCTTTTATGGGAATATCACCTCTGGCTACACACTGTGTTAGTACACACTCTGAGTCTGGAAACTCTGGAACTCCTCCAAAATATTATTTCTGCCAAGCATGCCTGTAATGCCAGCACTTGGGAGACTGAGGCAGATGGAGCGCTTTAAGTTCGAGACCAGCATGGGCTACACAGCGAGTTCAAGGCCAGCTTGAATTACACAGCAAGACCTTTTTCAAAAAACCAAAGCAAAAAAAAATGTCATTTCAAGAAATCTACCTTAAGCCATTAAGTCTATACCTGCCTGAAAAAAAAGGTGCAATTAATATTTAGCAATCTCTCTCAGGTTTAGGGAACTCACTAGGGATCCAAGAAACAATCGGAAAACCTGAACTTTGTCTTCAAGTGAAGACATAGTATTGAAACTTGGATTGTTTTCTTGTACCTCATTCATCACCTTCAGATTCCCAAGAATGGAGATAAATGTTAACATTTTCATTTCTGGGCAGAGCATCTGCTTTGAATCATCTTCTAGTTCTCTATCCTATGAAACTAGATACTCTACTGAGGAACCTCAAAGTTCCTGCCATGTCTTGTACATAAGGCTAAAGTCTACTTGTGAGTCTGAGCTCCCTGTTCTCCCTCCTGAACTATAGCCTGGAGAGGTATACTTTCTCTTCTCTGTCTTCCCTCCCCTCACCCCTGCCATGCTGGGGATCGAATGCAGAGCCTCAAACGTTAAACATGAGCTACACCCCTGGCCAGGTCTGGTAGGATGTGCTTTCTAAACAAAAGTCATCCCCGACCAGGCAGGGAGAACAAAACAGCCCCATGTCTCCAAAATACCCTATCAGTTTCTGAGTCTGCTTGCTCTGCTTTCTTAATATCTTTTTTCCTCCTGCCCATCTTGTGATACAGAGGTTAAAGGCTACCAAGAAACGTACCTGTTTTTAATCTTACCAGGTGCCTGGAGGGTTACCAATTTCACTGTCGTCACAGACCTTGGTATTTAAAGCACATGATACACTTCAGTAGAAGCCGATATAAATAGCAAACAGAAAGTTTACTGTCAAAAGTTAGTTGCCTTGCTAGATAAGGTAATTCGTCCAGGTAACTCTGATTCTCCTGAGGAACTGAAGGGCAGTGGAGAGCAAGGCAGGGATGGGAGAAAGAAAACAACTCCTGCCTGTTGATTGTTTGCACCGTGCTATATACTACGCATAACTGCAAAGAATTAAGAAGTAAAGCTTTCCAATTTGCGAGTATACCAAGGCTGTTGTTTGATAATGTATCTGAAGATTTAGTTTAGGATTTATAAATATGCTGTTTTCTTCTCTGCTTGATTCTCTTTTTGCTTCAAGATACTCAGTCTACAAACAGCACAGCCTTCGTGCATGGCATCCTGTTCAAGGTACCAGTCTTCTTTCCCATTCCTGAGCCTGACGGTTGTAAGAGTGGAATCAGCTGCCCCATCCAAAAAGACAAGACCTACAACTACCTGAATAAACTGCCAGTGAAGAGTGAATACCCTAATGTAAGTGCCACTGTTATCGAGGACGCTGGAGACCTTGGGGCTGGATTAGAAATCTGAGGAAAGGAGCAGAAAGCAAAGATGGGGACAGAGAGCCCCTGGTCTCTATGATGAAGCAGATGCCAGCGGGAAAAAGACAGGCTTGAGTGTTAAGAATCTGTATTTTTCATTGTGTGCATTTGACCTAATGGTTAGCTTGGGGGCCTGATGACCACACTTTTATACACAACATTGCACTTGATTCTCATGACCCCCTATGCGGAGGCGATATTCCCTGTCTTACAGATGAGGAAATTTGAGCCTCTGTGTTTTAAGATACAGACAGAATCCATTCCACAAAGAAAACTGGCAGCCTAGGTTTAGAGCTGGGTCTCCAAAGTCTATGCAGTGTTCAAAGATTTTAGCCAGCTATCAAATAGTTCAAGGTCTAAGCTATCTTAGCCTCACCCTCAGAAGCCCTGGTTTCTCCATCAAGCTTTTAAGGAGAGAGCAGTAGTTTGTTAGCTGCATTGCAGAGAAGAAACTTTTCCACTCTCCTTTCCTTTACCTTTCCAGTCTCTGCCTTCACCTCTGACCTGTTATTTCTGCTTTACCTGCTTGTTTCTCTGGCAAGCACTTGTAAGCAGGGAGAACTGGAGAGAGCCTGTATTAAAGATATGAATGGTGGTGAGAGTACTACATTTGCACTTGTCAAATACATGCACAATTTTTCAAATGTAAAATTATTTTTCTTGTAAGGTTTTTATTTACATGCCCTTGATCAAAGAGGAAAAGAATGCTTTAAGAATCTTTGTTTTGTTGACTAAATTCAAGTGTGTATCAATACCAAATCATAGGAGATACATTTTGGTTGACTCTTCTGAGTTTGAGGCCACAGGCAGTGTTTATATGCCAAGTTGGATTCGTGATGGAATGATTTAAGAAAAAAATGGTGAAGAATTAGGCGATTCATTATAATTTACATCTGGGAAACACAGTTAAACCAATTGTGGGTTAAGGTGAAACCCTAGTTTCATTTTTCCCAATTCTTTTTCTCTTTCTCCAGGTAAAACTGGTGGTGAAATGGGAACTTTTGGATGACAAAAAAAAAAATCTCTTCTGCTGGGAAATCCCAGTAGAGATCAAAGGCTAGAAGTATTTGATGCCATTATGTCTACATGGGGGTAAGAGGGCCGGGTAGAGGGAAGGGAAGAATGGAGGGAAATCAGACTTGAAGCTAAATCAGTGCCACAAGATGAAAGGAATTTCAAGACTGCTGTTTTATGCCTCACAACCTCCAAAAACATCTAAGACCATACTTCTTGAGATCTCAGACCTGTAGCCTTTGTAATTTCCTTTGTAAAAGGGCTGAAGAAAGGAGAAAGAGTTGGATTGTGAGGACTAGTTTAACTGGCTCATGATATTTTGCTGTTGGATGAGGGTGGGCCCAGCCAGGCAGGACTGGGAGCAGAGGCTTAGGGATCTCAGGATAACTTGCCCTAGGGCATTGGTGCTCAGTGTGGAGAATGGCAGCCAAACCATTTCTGTGTAGCTGTGGCCCTTGTGTCTACAGGTTCCTCAGCTCCAAGTGCCTCCCTCACAGAATCCAGTACATCTGGCCAACACTTCCTGCTGGCTCTTGACAGCACCTCCAGCCCGGTGGCTTCAATAGTAGGGCTTGTTCTCCGTGTATCCAGAGATCACTGGAGAGATGTTCTACAACAGAAATTTAGCTCAGATGGCTGACTCTTCCCTAGCTGGCTCATGTCTCTTGTTCCGTCTTAGCTGGTTTTCATTAAAGGCAACAGTTGCTTAGCAGGTGTTTGATTTTTTTTTTTTAACAATATTAACTTGTGTCCTTTTCTTGCATCTGAATCTTTGAATAAAGGAAAAAAACAGTGTTTTTGCATTTGGCCAGTGATTACCTGCTTCTTTCAGACAGCAAGTTCCCTAGATCCATGCAGGTGGGCATGCATTTCTGTGACTCCAGAGAAGATATGACTGTCAGAAACTGCTTTTTCTAGCGGGGTGTAGTGGCACATCCTATAATCCCAGCACTCAGGAGGCCAAGGCAGGAGGATGGCATGCTTATAGGAAACAGTGAGAGCAGACATCCCACAGCTGAACAGTAACATCTGAGGAGTGAGACTCAGTGATCTTTTGGGAACCATCAGTAAGGTGGGGAAAGCTTAGAAGCTTGAAGGCGAAATGTGAAGTTATAGCAAGCACAGTAAAATGAGTTAAGTCTTGGAGTTTCCTGCTCTTAAAGTAACAAGTATAGGACCGGGGATTTAGCTCAGTGGTACCACACATGCCTTGCAAGCTCAAGGTCCTGAGTTCGATCCCTGGTACCAGAAAAAAAAAAAAGTAACAAGTATAATCATGATACACAGAGTTTGCTGCTTTGAATCCATGTACTAAAGTCAGCTTCTAGGTGTCCCAGGAACTACAACCCTCTTCGTGATTAAGTAATAAGGACCTTGGAAGGTCATCTGTTAGGTTGAGGCAAAAGGAAGAAACTTTTCGGACAAAGTGTTGAGAAAATATGAGCAAATAATTCATTTGATCATGGTTCTTTTCAGGCCGATAATTTCACTAGACCCTTGGATTTCTTCAACCTGTGAGCTTCCTAGGAAAACCACCAGGGGACAGCAATGGGTCAGGAATGAAGTTGTCGACCACCAAGCTTTGCTAGTTAATCCTGGCAGCCATTCAATCACAAGACTCTTCAGCTAATGTCTCTTGTGTGGCTTGTCACATTTAGTCTAGAGGGACAGCCACCCTGTCTCCCCATGCAGACCCTAGGCGTAGCAGAATTGTGTGAATTCCAAAAGTGCTTAACTATTGAGGTCTCTGACTTCAAACTGCCTGGCTCTACTAATTAATAGGATTGCCAGCCAGGCGTGGTAGCACACGCCTGTAGTCCCAGGACTCAGGAGGCTGAGGCAGGAGGATCACTGTGAGTTCAAGACCAGCCTGGGCTACTTAGTGAGTTCCAGGTCAGTCTCAACTACATAGTGAGACCCTGTCTCAAAAAAACCAAAAAATAAAATAATAGGATTGCCAAGGTGATCTTTAAATCACTTCATCTTTCAGTGCTTCAGTTCCCTTATCTGTTAAGGAAGGGAAATGAGGATTAAATGAAATGAGGCATGTAAAACACTTAGCATGTAGCATACACTCTGTTAATCTTTAGCTATTGTTCCAGCGTGCACTGTTCTTTGTTTAGAAATAGGAAAACCAGGAAGTCCAGTCTTGTACGTAGTAATGTGTCTGCTCAGAAAAAGGCTAACAACCAGGGGTGGTGGCGCATGCTTGTAATCCAAGCACTGAAGAGGCTGAGGCAGAAGGAACACTACGGATTTGGAACTAGCCTGAACTACATGTCAAGACTGTCTTAAAAAAAGAAAAGAAAGCTATCTGCTCTGCACAGGAGCTTTCTGAAGGTCTAGAAAGGCTCAGTTCTTATATGTATCTGTGGATTCCTTACAGAAGACTCTTCACATTTTTAAACTCCTTTGGGGCTAACAGCTGCTGAGCCTGCATTTCATACTCTGCTCTCAGACCCAGACAAGCAGCTCAGTTAGTATATAGCCTTCCATCAGAACAGAAAGGGAACCTGACTGCTGGGGACTGTCTACCTGCCAGCCATTGTGGGGCTCCTTGGAGCCTGCAGCCGTGAGCAAGGCAGGGCTCCCCGTGGGGGGATTAGTTGGAAAGGTCATCTGCTACTGAAAGTTGACAGTCATCAACGCAGAGTTGCACTGAATCTTGGGTGTACAGAAACGATCATGCTCTTTCTCACGTCCCTTTTCTACGCCTCTGAGGCTTAGACCCAACTGTTACATGAATTCAAGGCAGACAAATGTCAGACTCCAATTGTTTATAAGTCAAAACAACAAAAATATGCTACAGACTTGTACCAGTCTCCTAAAACAAATGTGACTGTGATGTATTGCAATCATATGCTAATAAAAAAAATATTTTTTTCAAAAAAAGTAAGCCAAGAAGCTCCCCTGTTAACAAAATAAGGGGACATAGCACCTCAGATCTTCAGTTTGGGAGAAAGTTAAATGTGAGGGGTAATAGTCCCATCTTCATGCTAATGAAAAGCAACAAGCACAGAGTAATTTCAAATCCTACATGCTGGGGTTTTGAAATCTCAGCCAGTTATTTTATTTTTTTATTTTTTTCCAAGAAACAGAGGGATCCTGATTGTGCCTTGCAAAGGTTCATAAAGCAGACTGGTCTCAGAGCATCTGCAGGCATAGGAAAGGTGACTTAAAGTAGATGAGGTCAATGAAGTAAAGATCATCGTGGATTAATCATTTGCTTTAATCCAAAAAGTAAATTATTCTCCAATAATTGGGTTGGTAGGAGGACAAAGTCATGGTACATTGGAAAAACATCTGCACAGAGAAGAGCTGCATGTAAGAAAGTTGTTCAGGTGAGAGTCACAGTAAACAAGTGGGATCCAGGGCCTTTGGAAAGAGACAACAAAGATTAGAGGTTGAGTTTGTGTTAGCCAGTGACATTGTTTTCCTATATGTGTTGGGAATGGGAGTGGAGGGACAGAATGCATCTCCACAGATAACTGCCTAAAAGTCTTTGGAGGAGTTGAGTCATTTTGGGTGGTGGCATCCTCTTTCTCTAAAGAGAATCCCTGGGCCTATCCTTCAGCTTCTAAACCGATCCACTTACAGCTGTCAGTTGACTAGCAACTAAATGGTCTGGGTGTTGGTTGCCATGGAAACAGCTAAAAGGCCCATTGCTATGGGAACCTACCATTTTCTCCAGACCAGAGGTTTGCTTGCTTAAAAGGGGTGGGATAGGGAGGGTAGAGCCCAGGAGCTGGACTGTACAGGTGACTTGAGAATCCAAGAGGGTCAAGGGTGAACAGTGTTAATGAGCAGGCATGGCCAGCTTTCCTACTTTCCACAGTCACTCCTCCCCTGTCCTCCTCATTGTCCCCTGTTGACCACCAAGCACAGATGCTTGTTACCCTAAATGAATAGTAAGGATGTGAGACTTTGGAGCGGGCTTCACACATCAGAGCTGCTACCCTCCTCTGCAGGGGCTGAGAGTTAGAGTCTTGGCTCTCTCTCTGAAAGACCCATCTCCACAAATCATGTGCCTCAGGTAAGCAGCCAGCAGGTGACAGGATTCACTTACTTCTGACTGCCAGCAACTCAACCAGTAAGGAAGTTGGCAGGCAAAACAGATGGCCATGGGCCTTGAACATGGCGGAGATGCTGGGCGTGCCAGGTCAGAGAGCAGAGAGGCAGCCCACCAGCAGTGGACTGTTCTCAGCATCGAGAAATGCACTACTCTGCTGCTCTCTCCACACCCTACCCACCCTCACAAAAAGAAAGGGGCTGCTACAGAAAGGGGCACAAAATTAAAAGATGGTTGATAGAGATTCTCAGGAGTGCACAATGGTTGTAAGATTCTTTTTTGTTTTATAATTAAGGGAAATAAATCTTCAATCAGTATTTAGTGGTAAGACCAAAGACATCCTCGTGGCCCTGCCATTAATTTGTTACTGTGTAATATAGGAATTGAAGGGTCTGGACTAGGTCATCTCTGAGGTTTCCATCAAGACTAACAACTTAAGAGTCCTTGGGACACTGGAGGAAAGTTTAAGTACTACAGGCAAGCAGGCATAGTTTCCCATACCTGTGAGAGTCAGGAAAATCCCTGGAGTCCAGAGGGGCTTAGAACCAAGACAAAGGCGAAGTCATTCAAGTTAGAGACATCTCAGATAGGAGAACTACCTGGCTCTCTAGAACTCTGAGATGTGTGGTGTTGATTTTCTCTCCCAGTCTTGCTTTCTCCTACCTGGAATTTGCTGATCCTGGCCCCTCCCAAGGATCTTTAAAGCATAGAAGCCTGGTACCAGACAGAGAGAGAGAGAGAGAGAGAGAGCGAGAGCCTACTAGCTATGAGGAGGGTTTCACTTTTGAAAGCACCAGTTATTTATAGATTTAATTTTACTTGGATTCCCATCTCACCTCCAACTTTTTCCAGCTGATTGACTTTGGCTAAGTTACTGAACCTCTTAAAGTCTCAGTTTCTTCAGCTATAAACCAGGAGGATAGAACATCTCTGGGTAGTGGTAATAACATGAAGTAGGAAGTACCCGAGAAAGGTCCTTGGTATTATTATTTCTGCCCTAGATAAGAAAGGAGGGTTGCAGCCATAGAAACCGCTAGGTGGCCTAGAATCCCAGGCGTTTGTTATGCATTTGTCTTCCAAATTTAATGCCAGGCACCTTTCGAAATGCATGTCCTCCCTGATGCCCCACTGTGCTTCACCTTCATTCAGCCAGTGTCTAATCCTCTGTATGACACCTAACCACGTTCTTTCTTGTGTACAATTTTTGTGTCAGCTTACTTTCCTACTAGATATAAACATCCTGAGAATAGAGACTGCCCTTTCATCTTCAAGTAAATGCCTAGAACTCAGCACTCAGCAATTATTTAATGAATTTTTAAATAGGGAAATAGGCTGTTTCTCTTTAGGTTTTGAAGCTGCCCATTTAACCCTATAGCAGCCTTGCCTCCACAGGGGAGGAAAGTGTAGCAGTTGACTTGATTACCTGCTCTTGAAGACGGGTATGGCTGCGCCCCATCCCAGGTGAGCAGCTCTGGAGCAGGACCAGGGCTCATATCTTCTAGATACCAGCTGTCATCCGCATCTAGGACTCTTGACAGCACTTGTTGGTCTCCAGCCAGAAGGCTCCCTGGCCCTGGGTTCCCCTCCTCTTCTGTCTGCTGTCTGTCTTCAATTCAGCGAGCTTCCCTCCCAGGTTGTTT